TAGGGGTCGGTGGGAGCAAGCTTCGCAATGCGTTTGGCCTGAGTTGGATGAGCAGCAACGAGTCAGAGACAGAAGGAGCTATGAGGGAATGTGGGGGTTCAAGCAGAAGTGGTCGACAGGGAGCATAAAGTAGTGGTGAGTGCGATTCGAATGGTCATGTGAAGGGCCCTCCCTCGTCGACGGCTGTAATCAGTCACGTACACGCGCGACACCAACGGCCCACAAGCTCTGCTGGACAGGAGCATCCGCATTGCCAAACGACGGGCACAAAAAGTACAGTACTGCCTCGGCGAAGCTTTGACAGACGAGTTGCCTAGACGCGACTAGGTTTGTGCAAACTCCGCACCTGAACGGTAGTGGGTGACGTGCATCAATAGCAGCAACGAAGATCGCAGCTAGACAATTCCACTGCCGCCGGCAGCAGCAGCACGAGGGCAAAGCTCGTATTCAACGGTCACAACCGCGGGCGACAAGAATAGATCCGCTATCGTCGCTTCCTGTGCTACACTACTACTACTACTGTACGTGACTACTTGAACAGTAGCTGCAGTACCGGTACCTATACACCTCCGACACTCACACTCTTGCTTCACGAGTATGAGTGCCTGTTCCGTATCGCATCGACGGCAGCAGGCTGCTTAATTGCTGCATGGCCAGCAGATGCCGATCCGGCGGAAGAGTTGCGCGTGCATGCATGGATGCACGCATTTAAACATGCCTCTGGCCTACTCCTGACTTGCATGGCAGCCACGCATCAGCTCCAGCCATCAGTGTCAAAAAAAAAAAAGTCCCGACCCGGCACGATGGCTGGCTGGTAGAAGCCAGACTGACTTGGCTGGCAAGGACGTCAAGGTGTACCCAACACCTGCCCCTCCTGTTGCCTATTTGGAAGACAGACATGCACATTCAGGTCACGAGTATAGGCCAAGGAGATATTGAGTGTGCTTCCTTCTTGCCGAGATAGCTGTCAGTCGCGCTCGGTCATCTCCGCTTTGTGCGATTCGTGAGTTCCGCAATCACGAATCTCGAGGGGTGAGCTAGCTGTTATAGGCGGCCGCCGCTTTCCTCTGCCCGCGTTGGAGCGCAGAATCTCTGTTCTGCCGCTGGAGTCCGTCGCTGGTGTGCATAAACACAGACGTGCGTGCGTGCGTGCGTGCGTGCGTGC